TTGAATCAAATGTGTGTTAATTATATTTCACTCTACTTATAACTCACTTAAAGTTAACATATATGAGAGCCTTAACTTTGTTAACAGCATATTCTAACTCTTCACTTCAACTTACGAAGAAAAGCATGTAACTGGGTATATTTTTTTTTTCATCCTAGCTCCTATATATATATTTCTTTCCCATGATTTGTAACTTTTATTCGATCGTATAACACATGCGTCCATGGATTACATAAGCAACTTGCAAGTATTATTACACAAGTGTGTTTCAAGTCATTATAAATTTGAGACTCTAAATTAAAAATTTTAATTTGAAACCTGAGATAGGTAGGTAGGGAAAAAAGTATTATTACAAAAATAAGGAACCGCAAAAATAAAAGAAAATGATTGGTGCATAATTGATTCAATAGATTTTTTAACATTCATTTTGATTCAGTTATTAAAATATAATTTAAGTATAACTAATTCAGTCAGTTTTTACATCATATATACATCGTTATATTTTTAAATTTGTCTATCTTTAATTTCAAATTAAAAAATAATAATTTTTTAATAAATATGTTATATAGTATAATCAACTAAAGTATATGTATCAATTAGTGTTCAAATTTTTTTTTTTTAAAAAAAAGCCATTTTTCATATTCATTTTCGAATTAACAGAATTCAAGTACAAATAAATAAATAAAAACCTATAGATCTTGAACATTAAAACAAATTAAAGTTCAAGACAATATATATCCTTTTCTCGTTGGAAAATCCATTGTGATGAAATTTTTAACTTTCTTTGATCTTATCTTTTCGTAATGTATGCTATATATGTTCTGAAGCAAGGAATAGTTATATTAACTTCTGTGATAAGTTAGGAATAGTACTTTTTATTGTTTTATTAAAGTGATTCAGTTACCTTAACCTATAAGTTAAGAATATCTTAAAGGAGCCTCGAATCTTGAGTCTTGTATTTATCATATATAAATGATCTAATCATCCTTAAATGATCTAATCATCCTTGGAGTTCATCAAACTCTAATAAAAATAGCAATTGAAAACAAAAAAAGAAGAAAAAGAAAACACTCTTCTTCCTTGCCTCTCTAGACTCTGTTTGTCTATTAAAGATTGCCAAAATGTAATTAGCGTTCTGGTTGGTTGCTTAGAGATCAGAGATGGTTGACAAGTAAGTCCATTGGTTAACTTTAACTTATAATTAATCATGTAGTTAAGAATAATTTCAATTCCTCGGATCCATATTAAGGACAAGATTTTTCCTTTTTTTTTTTTTAGTTCTTAAGTGGTACCACATTTTCATTTATTGTTAATATTTTATTCATGTAGCTAGGTCAGATTTTAAACTAATTTACTCCTTATATTCAAGAATAATTGTAGTTTTTTAATCTGAGTTTGTCTCTAATTATTTGTCTTTTTTCATTTTATAGTGTAAATATATATTTTTTCTTATTTTAATGTTATCATTATTCATTTATTTTAATTAATTAATACAAACTTGATTTAACACATATTCTAACATTTGTATCGATTTAATATTAAAATATATTAAAAATATAGTTGATTCAATCGATTTTAACATCTTGTATGCATAATTACATTTTTAAGTCTATTTGTTCTTAATTTTAAACAAAAAAATATTTTTTAATAAGTGTGTTAGGTAATATATTAAATCAAAAGTTTTTTTTTTTGGGTAAGTTAAAAATTTTATTTATTTGGATACAAGGGGTACCCTTGTATACTAAACAATGTTCTATTTATTTTTTGCACAATTTATTTATTTATTTATCATATATAGTGAGAAGTCAAGCTCCACTGCAAGTTCATTTTCATTGCTGCTGGAAGTGTGGGAGAAATGTGATATGAAGGGAATGGTTCTTTTTTGTCTCACCTTACAAATCATCCTCTCTATCTTATGTAGGCATAGAAAATACAAAATTAACCATTTCTTCAAAGCCATTCTATGGTTTGCCTACTTAGGTGCCAATTTTATATTAACTTTTTGAACAGTAATTGGTACACTTTTCGGTTCAATACCTTTCGGTTCAACACTTCTCGGTTCAACACCTTTCGGTTCAACACTTTTTGGTTTAGTTATTAAAAAATTATTATTTTTTAATTTGAAATTAAAAACAGATAAGTATAATGATACAATCATGCATATAGGATATAGAAACCGACTGGATTGACTATATTTATATTATATTTTTAATGATTAAACCAAAAAGTATTGAACCAAATATTAAATCGAAAAGTGTACCGATTATTTTCTTAAATTTTTTATGATAAGTTAGGAATAACACTTTTTATTGACAATAAAAAGTATTTTATTCAGGTGATATAATTATCTTAAGCTATAAGTTAGGAATAACTTAGCCTCGAATCTTGAGTCTTGTATTTACCATATATATTTGATCTGATCATCCTTGGAGTTCATCAAACTCTAGTAAAAACACTCTTCCTTCTTGCCTCTCTAGACTCTGTTTATCTATTAGATGTCACCAAGAAGTATTAGCGTTTTGATTGGTTGCCCAAAGATCAGAGATGGTTGAGAAGTAAGTCCACTGGTTAACTTTAACTTAAAATTAATAATGTAGTTAAGAATAATTTCAATTCCTCGGATCCATATTAAGGACAAGATTTTTCCTTTTTTTTTTTTTGTTCTTACGTGGTACCACGTTTTCATTTATTGTTAATATTTTATTCATGTAGCTAGGTCGGATTTTAAATTAAGTTACTCCCATGTTTAAGGATAATTATAGTTTTTTAATTTTGAGTTTGTTTCTAATTATTTGTCTTTTTTATTTTAACGTTATTATTATTCATTTATTTTAATTAATTGATACATATTTGATTTAACATATTTTTTAATACTTGATTTATTTTAAATATTAAAATATAATATACTTATAGCTGATTCGATCTATTTTTACATATTGAATGCATAGTTGCATTTTTAAATTTTTTTTAAATTCATATAAAAATAATAATTTTTTAATAAATGTATTATGTAATATGTTAAATCAATGTGTATATTAAATAGCATTTTATTTTTTTGTACAATTAATTAATTAATTAATATATTTTATTTATATAAACAGTGAGAAGTCAAGCTCCGTTGTGAGATCATTTTTATTGCTGGAAGAAGTGTGGGACAAATGGGATGTGAGGGGAATGGTTCTTTTTAGTCTCTCCTTACAAATAATCCTCTGTATCCTTGGTAGGCATAGAAAATACAAAATGAACGATTTCTTCAAAACCATTCTATGGTTTGCCTACATAGGTGCCGATTGGATTGCCATTGTTACTTTGGGCAAACTTTCTGGTTCCCATGTAGAATCTACCGCCACCAACGTTTTAAGAGCATATTGGGCTCCTTTACTGTTGGTACATCTTGGTGGTCCTGACACCATCACAGCTTGTACTTTTGAAGACAACAAGCTTTGGATTAGGCACCTCATCAGCCTTCTTGTCAAAGTCTTTTTTGTCATTTATGTCATTTGTATGTCGTGGACCTTTTCTTGGCTCTCGTTTTTTACTCTTCCTCTCATCTTAGCTGGAATTATTAAGTATGTAGAGAAGATATTGTGTCTCAAGCTGAGTAACTCACAGAAAACAAAACCACTCATTTCTAATATGTTTAATCTTCAAAGTCATTCTGACCTCAATGAGAATCAAACCCTTGATCGCCTTCAAAAAGAAAACCCAACCGTTTTGTCAGCTTATCTATTTTTTACAATTATGAGACCGGATGTTAATGATTACCTCTCCTCCGAAAATCTTTCCGATGTTGGAACGAGGATCAAAGCTTATCTCAGGGAAACTACAGGTATAGATGGTAGAAGGGCTTTCCAGTTTGCAGACAAATATCTTGCTCTAAGCCTGGGAAAAGACGTTTTTGAAATAATTTTTATTCAACTAGGATTCATGTTTGATGCTGCTTACACCAAAGCTAGTTTGATTCACACCAAGTTAGGATGCTTCTTGCGCCTTGCCAGTTCCACTAGCTTTTTCTCAGTTCTGCTGCTCTTCTTTATCGACATCATTAAAAAGCCAAAATTCCATGGCTCAAGAATTGATATTGCCATAACTGGCTTCTTATTGAGTGGAGCTATTGCACAAGAATTTTATGCAACATGGGTAATACATTCTTCTGATTGGGCAGTTCTTGTCGCGGAATTTCATCATAATGTGTTGGTACGCAAAGTGTTTAAAATCACCTCAAAGTACTTCCCTCGCTTATTGCGTCAAAGTAGAAGGTGGTCAAATCAAATGGGTCAATTTGATCTGTTGGCATATTGTTGGCGTTGCAAGAAAAGGAAGGCAAACCAATCACATGGCTTTCTACCAAAGATCACTATTGGCAATGAAATTGCTGAAATGTGGCACAAATACTGGTCTACTAAATTTGTGAATGTTCCACGTTTTTTGCAACAAGGAGAAACTTACTTTCATCTCTTGAATGCAATCAATTTAGTGAACAGCCCCTTAAAGACAACAAGAGGAGAAAAGGCATTGCGGAATTGTCAACAATTTGATCAACTAAAATAGAGCGTTGAAATTGAGTTTGATCACAGCATCATAATATGGCATCTTGCCACAATTGTTTGCTACTTACAAGAGGATAATCATGATGGTGAAAACATGGAAATTAGTAAATGTGCATCAGACTACATGATGTATCTATTGGCCATGTGTCCTGCTTTGCTATTGTCCGGGTATGGGGAGAGTTTTTGGCTTGTTCATGCTTATGACAACCTCAAAGGACTTTTGCCTCCTGCAATTGATATAAGAAATGCTGCTTCCAAATTATTTTCCAATCCAGATAATGCTCATGAAGAGGAGCTTGAATCCAGGTTTGATGTCTTTAATTCTTATTTTCATAGAATTATAAAATTAGAATTAAAGTAGTTTTATTTCTTTCTAAAATTTCTTTTTTTTTTCTTAAGCTATAGGGAGATAACTTTTGAAAACCTAAAAGGAGAAGTGTTGAAACTAGTCACAATTTTAAAGCAATTAGATAATAAATGGGAGATGCTCAGGGATGTCTGGATAGAGATGCTTTTATATGCAGCAGTTTCAAGTCGGTACATTAATCACGTTAAGCTGCTAGGAGAAGGCATTGAATTATTCTCACTCATCTGGCTTTTAGCAGGCACTTCCGTTCTCAGTAGTGTCTTTCAAATGGAGTAGTGTGACCAACATCTGCAAGTTTGGCGGCCTTATGTCTCATGTTTGAATTACATACATAAAGAAGTGGCAATGCAATTTATGTTACTTACCTAAATACATTTGTATCTAGTATTTATTATGAACTTTGATATGTATAAATTAAACCCTTGAATGGTAGTTTGAAAATAAATATGGTTTTTTAAGTCTTTGTTTAGTATAGTAGTAATTTTGAATTTTGAATTTTAATTTTCAAAAAATTTAGAAACCCTCAAATAAAATTAGATTGTAAAGTGGGTTTTGAGTATTATTTTTAAACTTTTATAATCAAGCAGTGACGCATTGCATCAGATTTAAGATTTCATAAACGTGAAGCTAGGATATATTATATGTATAAACATAAAACTGCTGCAAGGGATATTGACTTAAAGAAGATGAGTTAAAATGGTTGTGAGAGGACAGACTAGAGTGGGTATCACCAGTAGGGTCTCATACCAGCATAAATAATTGAAGTGATCCAAATTCTGATGCTGTCTTGAGAATGAAAAAAGTTTTACGAATTTGAAGATGATTCCAAATTTGTAACATAAAGGAACAGTCAAAGAACAACTAGCAGCAGATTAATCATTGAACTCGACATCATGGATAAAACAACTTAGAACCACTGGTGATGCCGTTAAATGCACAAAAACAATGAGTAAATACAGACACTTACATCCCAACCTAAATGGCTAAAATGGAATCTGCCGGTTTCTTCCCTTTGGAAAATAATCGCACCATGTAAATCTGATAGTTGATGAAGAAATACTTTGGTGGACGTAACGTGCCTTAATAAATTGAGGACTTGTTATTCAACAGTATAACATGATTTATGTACCCGTGTCAACCAATAACCAATATCAAATAGAAAATATGGAAAATATAGATTTCTTTTATGATTTTTTTATGAAGCAATCGCATTTAGCGTGGATTTTGTTTCTTGATCAAATCAACCATTCACCCCAGTTTTGTGGTTTGACTTGTTGCCTTGTTGGGTTGCATGAAAACAATGAAAAATGTTAATGATAATTAAATATGATTTTGTCATAGTTATGTGCAGTTAATCAATAATTGATTTAAATTTTTTTTTATGAAAGTAATTGATGATAAGTAATGGTTCTTACCCTACTACACAAAGGATTTTACTCTGAATTTATATTTACTAATTTATTTATTTATTAATTTTGGAAAGAATTGAACAACTTTTAATAAATTTTTCACTAGTTTATTTTTTATTTTGTGAAGGATTGAGCAATTTTTAATAAATTCTTCATTAGTTCTTGAAAAAAAAAAGGTTCTACTTTAGCTGTTGATAACATGATCGGAAGATTAATAGAGATTCAAAATTTCTTTTGGATTATTTTGGGCATGGCTTTAATGATTCATGCACGAAGGAGACTCCAACTTCTTTAGACGAGTGCATCTCCTCTTTGGTATCTCATTCAATCAGTGGGGACTTTTGCCATACCACCTGCACTCTTTAAGAAACCAACGTAATAGTTAAAAATGTCTAATAGTTGAAGATGCTCATATTGATTTTTTCTTATATGTTAGTAGCTTTGTTTATATCCGTACCACTATTGCTATTAACA